AACATTCATCTCTGCGGGGGCGAATGTTATATTTTGGCTCTGTTTTTCAAACGTTTCATTTGTTGCTAAATCACTTTCTTCCATTTTCAGCTCTCAGTGTCAAAGTTTTGGATGAAAAAGCCTAGCCACTCCGACCCTCGTCGTACACAACAATAGTATATTTCATCTTACTCCTCACAAGGACCGAGATTTCACATTACCTATGGAGCCAAATTACCAACCGCAATATTAGTTTGTATTACCGGATGTTCGTTCAAGACAAACTATGACTTGTATGCACGGAAAACGTTAGTTTCAGTCCAGAGAAGATCCATCGCCAGATCAAAGTGAAGTTTTGGCGAATGAAATCTCTGAAAGTGATTAATGGTTTCCTTCGGTATTTAGACAAACTGACTGTCAAAGCCGGTCGTCCCTCGAAACGACAATCCAACGAATTTCGTCAGTAATAGTTTTTCAAATCTTAAACTGTCATCACGACCGGATGCACCGGCGGCTTTTAGCAGATGCACAAGCTGCATGCCAACGGACGACCGAAGACAATGTCGTAGCAACTAACCCTGATAATATTGGGAGTGAAGAATACAGTGATGGGAATGACAGAAACGCGTCCCGGCGACAAGTGACAGGAAGAGCTACGCTACAAGGGCGATGCAAGAGAGCAATTGGCTGCGTGACAAAGTCGCGTCCGTCAGTCTCATTTTATTTAGCGAACATAGGAACAGTTGTGGACGTAAAGTGTAAAAAGTGGAAGGCTTACCGGAGCGATGTCCATAATCAACGACTTTCGGTCGAGGTCCACCCGAACCGCCAGCATGCATAGGGCTCCTGTCACGTGGGGACAAACGTCCCATCCTGTGTTGTGGTGAAACGCCAGGATATGGTCTAACAAGAGCAGCATCTCTTGACCTGGGTGGACTACGGCTCATACCCCGATAGTCTCGTCGAGACTGTGAATCTCTGGACCCGGGATGGCTGGGCGGAGTTCGTGGACCCGATTGCGGTACGCGTGTGGCATACTGAGGTTTGTAGCGCGAATTCGACTGTGAAAACGAACCATTGGGTGGAGTGGGATATCTTCCATTGCTTAATCCTCTGGTTGGTCGGCTGGAAAAAAAAGTAGTTATACATCCAACGCACTTGTCAATGAGTATACTCTCATGAGGTCATCCCACTAAGCAGAACAGTCTGGGATGGTCTCTTGAAGCTTTCGGTAAAAGTTAGGACCCCGGAATGATCACCTTTTATTTCAGGACACCAAGATGTACTTTTAGCAAGATCCCTGAAGGAATACCCGGAGGGTTACACGCCTGCCCGACAGGTAACCAACCGTCCGTTTTCATCTGAAGCATACGCATTCCGAATAAAACGTTTCGGGGATAGAAAAACTAAATGCGATCGTTCGCCCATATGCACTAAGGTGCAGTATGAAGATAAAATAGCGGTGAGGTCAACCGGTGGCCACATCTAGTAAGGCAGGCCGGGGACATTGTGACTTTTGACGCTTCAGATGCATCGAAATGTTGGTGGCTCTGATGCTTTTAGTTGATGCTCATCACCCACACAATTGCGCACTGATGACTCACCAGCCATGGACGAACAGATCAACGACCAATTAATGGTCATGATTGTTCAATATAGTGTTCTCTGAAATGTCATGTTTGGTACAGTCCAAGTACTAGCGTCGACCAATGCAGTTTTCGCTTGTGTAGCTTAGGCACAAATGGATTCTACAAATGAACTATAGCCAATTTGCAGTAAATAATTTGGAATGCTTGGAGCTCATATCTCAAAAAAACAGCAAATGCAGGGAAATCCCAGAGGACCGCGGCATAGGGCAGACCAGCACTGATCGGTCCTTCTGGTGGTTTCTTCATAGTGACATCGCTGAATCTTCAAACAACTCACCTGAATTCTGTTCGATCCAGTGATCTTTGTTCGGGACGAACGCGTAATTGATCAGATGGGCGGCTATATGTGCGACCAGTGTCCAGAGATGGTCGGTTCGACTTATCATAGCGAGGTGCGTGTTCAAGAGAGCGCGGAGCAGATTGGAGTGGTCGTCTGTGTTCCATCGGAGACATTGGAGGTGGCATTCTCGGGCGCGGAGGGGGGCTCGCTCGGCGCATAAGTGGCTCCGATCGGCGAGGCGCTGGACGTGGGGGCGGAGTGAGGCGTGAACGCGACTCAACGCGGAGCGGTTCTCCGGCTCGTCGCCGCTCAACACCAGATAGGGGTCTGGGTTCAGGGCGACGAATTGGTTCAGGCCTTGAGAGTAACCGCAGTTCACGACGCTCAGGCGCCAAGTACCGAGCACTGTTTGTCCATGCTTCAGTGCTAAGGAAACCAAAATTTCCGTTGGTACAAATAAATGATAATCGTATGGGTCTTAACGCAGTGATAAGCGCCTAATAGGACACTGACCACATTCGTTTTCCACAACACCAAGCGTGATTAAATTGGCAAACTAGCTGCCAACCGCACCATTCGTACACATTTTTCACCAACGGACCACCAAACCACTGGGTTTACGATTTTCTAATGGCATAATCCAAAACAGCGTTACCTTGCTAAATTATCACTGAAAGGCATAAAAGCGATTTCACACAATCTGTCGCTACTGGAAGTCACGGAGCAGAAATCACCCCAAAAGTCAATAGTTTATTCTCTTCAACAACCGAAGAGGCAGGTAACACTTGGCGCTACGACATGGAGCCTCTTACAAGCATGCATGCGAATAATCGGCATGCTCTTACAAGCATCCATGCGAATAATTCGGGATGCTAACTGCTTTCAGAATATGAATAATGCTTTGTCGCTGCGCGGCTTCAGCAATATCTACAGCTCCCCGTTATAAGTCACATTGATTTGGGCATAAAGCTGAGCTCTCAACAGGTTTATTATCCATAAAACGCGTCGAAAAACTGCGCCAAAGCGTATGATCGTGGCACCAAGTGATCTCTTGGGCACTGGGCCACATGACCGTTGAAACTTTCCAGGCACCGTGTCGTTCACGTAATTGTATGGCACGATGCAAAGCTTAGTTACTGCTATCTGACGGTTGTCTGCTTAGCGAAGAAAATTCAGCCACGAAGCCGCCCGGCGTCGAAATTCTCAATTTTTCATTTTACAAACGAAGCAATGGATCAGAAGCGACATCCAACAGCAAGAAACGACGACCCGAGCAATAACTTTGAATAATGAAAGTAGTTCGACGTTGTGCACCGACGGGACGGTGATTTTGTAGGTTAGGGGCAGCCAGACTTTCAGATTGCCGATTTTCAAAGCGGACAGAGACTGCAGAACACATCGACCAGCAGTGAGCAGGACGACTAGATGTAACCAAAGACATCGAAACATGCATCACGTTCGGTTCTTGGACGATAACCAGTACTCAAGTTGGCCAACAAAATGAAGGGCTAATCGTTCACATAGTAGGGCGACTGATGACAACGTCGTGTTACGACCCAGGAACGCCGAGTACAGATATGACTGATAAGGTGACAAACGACAATTGGTGGACTAACATTAGTTACGAAAGCAAGTGGTGCTGGTAACTTGCAACGTAGGAGACCAATGGTTGAAACTTCCTACAAGGAAGTGTTTGACGACACACTTTGACATCGTCCTTCCCAGAACTACGTCACTGAGCGTAACGTAGACGGAGGTAGCAAAGATGTTGCTTACCTGTAGCGCATCACTGAGCGCGGCATAGCCGGAGGTGGCCTTGGAATTCGAGACCGGAAAATGGGGCGCTCCATTACCTGCTGGAGGAAAAAGCGAAGTGATCCAATACCTCCAAATTAACTCCGGCACGGTATTCCAAAAGATTCAACCACAGCGGAGAAAACATCAACTGGCACAAAGTAATATTATCTCATTGGAAGTCATCGAAAGCAACAATCCGTCCTTGCGTTAGCGTTAGGTATCACCGGTCAAATTTACTTTCACCGGTATATGGTCGCGTACAACTTCACTGAATAGTTGCAGACTCCTGCCAAAAAACATCGTCTACGGAGTGCTCCAACATCGTTATCAAGATGTGTGAGACATTTAATTTTAAACAGGATCTATCGCGGTCCGAAGAACCGACGCTCAGGTAGAAACTGTCCACATCGCCTTCCAATTGCCTCCATATAATTGTCTGGGTTACAGCAAACAGGCCCTCTTCCTGACCACTTACATAGAAATTCCTGATTGAAAGAACAGGCGTGAACGACCTGACTTTCCATGAAAGGATTATGCAGTCAGTCGCTTCGGGTAGCTAAACGAACACGGAACTAGTGCCCCCAATCGTCGTAAACCGAACCAATTATATACAGCTCAAAAGTCAACCACAGTAGTTAGATTCCAGATTAACCGGCTCCGTAGAACACAAGCATCGCAACTCGTATAATCCTCACGGGTTTTGCCACAGCATATAGCTTACTGTCATACAACGCCACGGGTGGCACTTGATTATCGATTCAACTCATCAGTGAATGACACTCTCGTGGGCTCACGAAGAGGGATCGGCCGCCATTATCTCCTCGCACGATGTTCCCATGCACAAGAGGTACGTGACAAACAGTAAACTGACTCACTTGCAATCCACGGGCAAGACCATATCGCGAAGCTGCCAAAATCCTGGCTCGCCTCAAGGATTGATAGGCCAATAAATTGGGGACCGGTCTTGATGGTCGAACAGGCCGGGGTGGGGGTGCAGCCAATCTCGATGAATCATAAGGCATCCTTGTTGATCTCTCCATACGCATTCCACGCCGTCTCATTGCTGTGTATATAGTGAATAAATCAGGACAGCACCTACCTGAAGCATACTTCCGTGCTCGTATGAAACGATTCGCTGCTGGCCGCTTCGCCTTCGTCTTGGGAGGACTGGTCTTTGCGCGACCAGTATCCGTTCTGCTCGTTGCCTTGGAAGCAAGGGTGGGTGCTTTTCTACCCGTCGCTTCAACGGTCAACTTAGAGCCGTTAAAATCACTGCCATCAAATTTCTTGGCAGCAGCTACAGCGTCATCAGCAGAGGCCATCTCCACAAATCCGAAACATCCTCCAGGAGTGCGGGTGCTCATTACGACCGTGGCGGATACAACCTATATGAAGGATACTGGACTGAGGTAGTCGGTCGGCTAACCTTCCCAGCCTTGCTGAAATGCTGCTTCAAGTCCGCTGCCTTGACAGTCCTCGGTAGATTACTGACCCACAAGTTACGAATTTCTACACATCAAATAACAGCGTACTCAATGGATCAAACATACCAGATCCGGGTCCCGTTCCCTTCCCGCTATAACGGGAACACAGAGAGAATTAGCAACGCTTTTCACGTAATCGACGAGGGCTTAAGGGAACAAATCTACGAACCTCTCTTCCTCTGCTTTAGGTTTACACTCCTCAGCTTTCTCAGTTTGCGCTAAATTGGATTGTGCAGCGCCATTGCCATCCGCTTTCAAATCATAATCCAGGTCTTCTTCTTGGTCGCCAACTTGAACTACAAAAGGAACAGACTCCTCGTTGAGCTTCTTCTGTTCAGGTTGTTCTTCCGCAGCAATATCTGCGTGGCTCTGGGATCCAAGCCCCTTACCAATCGGCGATTTGTCTTCCGGGAAAAGCAGGGGAAAGTTGAAAACAGCAGAGTCAAGTGTGTTCAAAACTTTTGAAACAATAAGACAGTATTTCATATACCAGACACCCGAAACAGTGACGGCCGAGGGCGCTTACACCGACCACAATACGGTAGAAGTAGGCATGGTTATGTTAGCCAGCATGGATATGCTACTCGTCCTTAGTAACATTCACAAGCATTGGGTGCGTCATCATCACATCCTCCACTTTCGGCTTGGTAGGCTGCGAATCACATGGAAGTCCACTATTAGCTCCGGTTTTGCCGAGGAGGCTGAAAACAGTTTCGGACATCCGAAAATTAGCCGTGCTGCCCTCAGTCCACGAATACACGCACCAGATTGAAGCGGTCTGCCGTCACCTTCACACAAACCTAGCCTTCAGGTTCGATAACCTAAACATACCCTACAATTGCGCCACATAGGTGTCCTATCGCAAAAATAGCGAACCACGCTGTACGTCAGAAACCGGTGACACGGGTAAATTCAACAAGAAAAACCGAAAACGGTGGCTGACCACGAAGCTCCAAAACACTCACCGAATTCACCGTCATCTTCGTTTACTGACTGAAATGACAGAAAGGTTAGGAAAAATGCTCACAACGAACCATCTGCTCCAAAATCTCAGAGTCTGTCTTGCTCAGGTCGGCGTCAATGCCGAAGCGATAATTCTGCGGATCAAGTCCCTCTTCTTCAAGCGCCTTCAGGGGATGAGCTGTTACTAAATACCATACCTCTCTGAGTCTATCCACCAGAACTTGTTTTACTCCACTCTTATCCTTGAGGCGCCTCTCAAGCTCCCGCCGCAAATCCGCCACTTTCAGGTCGGCCAGTAGACGACCGTCCATTTTGCGAGAAATGAGGGGCGGCGGAAACCAGAAAAACAAAGGACCGGCTTGTAAAATTTTACCGTCCTTTTGAGGCTCATAGTGTTTCAAGAAACACGAAGTAGTTCTGTTGCTTAAGACGCGCATCAGATTCGTTCATTAAAATTAAAAATAACGCTGTGATTGGCGCGTAATTTGAAATTTTCTCACTTTCGGGTAGCTCTAAATGGTGTGGTGTATGCAAAAAATGATACATGTACATATATAAGCGAACTGAGTGCCGAAAGCCTGCAGATTCGGGTAGTTGAGAATAGCTAAGACTACAGTGTTGGGCGAACGCGATGGTGGTAGGTGATAGACGGAAGGGTGAGTGAAAGCGGTATACCCACCCAAGCCATGAGCACACATAAGCGAGCGTCATATTTTGTTCATGTACCGCACCTGGTGGTCCGAAATCATCGGCGAACTAAAAGGTAAACAGAATTGAACGCTAATTGGACGTCTGCAAGCCGCTAACAGAGTCAAGCTCAGAGGTGATCGTTGATGGTTCGTCGGAGGCCATGGATTGAGGAGTCTGACGCAGTGGACTCACGAAGCATGTTCTGCGACAGCAACTATAAAAGGAATAAGACGTTCTGGCGTTAAAGCACAACGGGGAATCCAAAACTAGCTATCAGATGTAGCGGGAGGACTACATGAAAAATGAGGTTCTAAGGGACGGTGCCTCACCTGAGGCCGCACTTCAAAGTTAGCTCACATGGCCTATGGCTATCCATCGAAATGAGTAACTGAGTAAAATATCTTACTACCAAGCGACGAATGAAATCTTTGACTGGACGTCACATGCACATGGCTTTTGGTTGAATAAATGTCAAAAGACCAAAGTTTTTCTACCGCAACGCGTAATTTGGAAACGGCTGTGGGGGCATTAAAGCGTTAATCACACTCAAATGACAACACCTGGTCAGTGGTCCATTTTCAAATGATTTATCGATACAAAACAAGGATAGAATAACCCAAAGTGACAGATGATCTGCGCAATAGTAACACTGGAATCTTGGTTAGACGATTGTATAGGGGATCCCTGACAAAGTCTGATGATTGTTGTGACCAAGCGTCTGTGAAAACATTGTTTTTTTCACTGGCATTAAACCTATCGGTCTGAAGTAATTCATAACTTGTGGCTAACTGAGCATATTGCATACTCAAACGAAGTATCTGTTCAGGAACGCACGTATTCTTGGAATTGTTCGCAAGTAGAAAACATTGCCGCTGTTTTCGTGGTGATTTATGTAACGCACCGATGAAAACAGTGTATGAATACACAGGTATTGCCACTAGGGTGGTCTGTTGCGCCATGCACTCTGCCCGGTCGCGGCGACACGGTTTACGATTACCAATCATGTGGTAGGCGGTCTATTTTACACATCTTACATGTTGCGGTGGCTTACAGGCTGCTACTGATTCGCTGCTTTGCGGTTGTTGAACAAACTCTGGGTAGTGCAAAGAGCACTGCACTATTCCTTATATCGTGACGCCCACAAAAACGGCAGGATTTAACCTGGCGACCGTCCCAAACTCATCTTGAGGGAATCATTTGCGAGACGTAACAGCTCAGTGAGCGATACCGGATGCAGCACTTTGAGCCTCCGTAGGGTTTCTCCTACCATCGTTGGAGATTCAACGTACACACCTTTTTATCCAGCTGGAGTTCTGGATCACTACCAAAGGCAGACATTTTACGGCTCATGAGAGAACCAATGAAACCACCAAGATCCTTCTGCCAAGCTCTGGGTACTTTGAGAATGTCCCGGCACTAAAACATGATCATGCCAGACGGTATGCCACCCACAATTTGGGAATAAACATTAGTATTATTTTCGTTATACTTTCTTTAACAGCTGGCCGTGCTGTCGTGCTGCACAAACCGTAGCACTCTAACATTAGCTGGGCCGTCTTATTTAAAGCTTGCACCACTGAGTGCAAACAGAAATCTGCGGCCGTTGATGCCATCCGCTATTCTTGATTCATTCGTTACTTATCCCCAAATTCCACTTCATAACCTCGCTGTAGATAGTTCAGCATCAAAGAAAGCTACAAGTTACGCGACAGTTCTTACATCTGCTGTCCGAATCCCACAGCTCAAATTCTGCCGCAGCTTTGTGAGTAGCATGATGCTCCAGAAAACAACTTCAACACAATATACGTGTAGGGCACACCACGAACCTGAACACAGAAGCTGGATGTGATTGAGTTTACTGCACCATCAATTTCTGAGCAATACCGACTACGAACTAAGACTAATTCTGCAGCTTCTGCACCGGTGTTCGTGTGATTCTCTGTTTGCTTTGAAAATCAAGGAAACGCCCTACGAGTGAGTGTTGCCTTGCGGCTTTTTTGTATATGGAGACAACATAAGAAAACATCACACCAAAATATGGGCAGCACATTGTTTTCTGACGACGATTCTCACCCGTGTTTTTCTCCCCCAGTTCCCGAGACGTCCAACTAAACCACAACTTGTGGTGAGTCGTTCAAGGCCGTTTGCGTCTGCTAGGACTTTAATGACTACCAATACACAAAGAAATGATTGGATAAATACCGCCTATATGAACGACAACGTGGCCACGGGCCCGTCACTGTGTGAGGAAGACTTCGCAACGCTCTGGAGTACAAGCCCAGCAAAAAGGAGCCATTTTCGCCTTTTAAGTAGTAGGTTAACCGTGACAGGCTCTTAGTCAATTTGGCTTTAGGCATTTCATCTCATCTCTGACAATGTTGCTTAGTAGCGGGAAAGTAACTGACAAGCTTAGCTGATATGCGGCTTCAGCCACTATTTTCATTCCTACTATAGATGAGGTTTTGACTCGGCGGCCATTTGGCAAATGAGCCACATCTTCGCATTCTGGATAGGACCGTTTAATTTTTGCAGGATAAAGTTATGACAGAACACCTTCAGAGGGTGTCTACAAATGACGCATCATGGCTCTGAAATGCCAGAGTATCTAAATTAGTGTAATGTACATGTACGGTGCTTGTTCTTTACATCTGGTTACATTACGAGAAGCAATGTTGATTCATACACTGAAAATCCATCCGCTGAAAACGACCTAGTTTTCTGCGAAAAACTTCAACTTTGTAATTCTGCGCTTGCCACCACTATGACATGCATATATGTGTGGCGTAAAATCTCGCGTTGCCAGACCTCTAATTTATCACCGTCGTCAGGGGTGGCACCATTAGTGTTGATACGAGTACTTCCCTGGAGCACAATCACAAAGTTCGTCAAATTATACTCAGGGCCCCGAGGTGAAAAAACAGAATTTGGAAGGCGAGAGAAAAGACGTGGTTTTTGGCTGTCGAAAGCACCCTGAGATACCACCACGCCAGGGGGCAGTAAAAAATTCTGAAAAAAATCACGAGAACGAGCGCCACCAACATTGATAAACCGCAATTTCTTGGATTCAGCCAAATGCAGGTGGGATCATGTGTCTCGCATTCTGGAAGTATAACCGCATCGCCGGCGCCTAAGCCATCCGTATTCTCTTTAGCCCTCGTCTGTCAGGTCATAATCTGTCCAGAACAGTTTGCGTCCTTCTAATGGAGGCATGAAGAACAACCCTAGTTTTGGCAGGCGCTCTTTATGCGTGCTAGCTCAAACCGCCGCAGTTAATTTTGTTTGATGTTTTTTCCCGCTGAGATACAGACCGCACGACCAAGCATCAGTCAGCCAATCACCCTGTCATGAGTTCTTCAGGGACGAATGTATCAGCATTGTTTTCTTTAGAATCGGTGATAAAGAACCTGGAAATGCCTCATACATTCGAATGAAAAGTCATATCCCGTAACCATGTATCAATACGGATTTGGCTCTAACCTGACGCACGCAACCCTCGTGAGTCTCTTATATACCGATTTCATGCCTCAGCTTACACGAATTGGAAAACCTGATCCTGGCCTTCGACTCCCGTGCGCTGATTTCATTAGCCACACTTCCATCAAATTAATACGATAGCAGGGTTATGAAATATTCCCCACAACCTCTTCGAACTGCAAGGTGCTTGTTTGAGGACCATGTGTTTTGAGGTAGGAATTTGCGCACTGGAATTGCAGGGCAAATGCAGAAAAATAGAGGACGGTGACCAACTTATCCGAAAGGCTTTCACCTAGCCACCGTCTCCGAATTTGGTCTCCCCGTGCACCACGAATAGACAAGACTCCCACAGGCAAACTTGAAAACAACGTTATATTATAGTCCTTCAATTGAAGTTGGAAAAAGGTACAAAGTGGACAGAACGCTTTTCATGTACAGAATATCTCACAGAGCTCATCACAAACCCTCAGGCATTTCAGCGTGAAGAATGCTTTATGTTCGCAAACTTGTAGGACATATCCCGTGATTAATCAGAAGCACTAAAATTCGGCGGAATTAAACGCACACGTAAAGCGAATGACCGCAAAGACTGTCCCACCAGAACACATGTAGTTACTCTAACAAATTACGGGGTATAAGAATGTTCAAGATGCAGCCTTAGCCCGGTTGAACTTCTTCGCAATACTCACGGGTCAAGGTTTCGTGTACGGCTGCAAGTTAATTAATAATCACTGGCGCCATAAGCCTTGTTACGACGGGAATGAAACCTACACTGCCGTGGTTGCTACACCCATGAGCGTACTCTTCTTGAGGATGAAATCTACTACTAAATCATTCTAGTTGCCTGGATGTTATGTTCATCCAAAATAAACGCCAGTCCGCTAGATATATGCTTGCCAAAAAATCCTCCACCATTCTCTGGAGAAGCAGACGGAAATCTTAAGTACCAAGTGCCCCATAACTCCTGAATGACGCTATACAACTGAACATTTCTGAGGAGGAAGATTCTCCACGTTAACAGCCCACATTCATTTACAGTCCGGCGTTCCGTAGTGAAAGTATCAGGTGGCTATCAGGGTTGCTCCTCGTAGTACTCAAAAATCCTCCACCATCTCTCAGGAGAGCCAGACGGAAATCTTAAGTACCA